TTTACAATGAATATTATAACATAACAATTATTACAATATTGAAATGCCCGGAGCGAGCAACTCATTCCCACTTTGTGCAATTTTCTAGATAATCATTGACTTTATAGTAAGCTTTATTGCACAGATGTTCTTTAATAGTTTTCTTAAACCTATGTATATGTAGGTTCTGAACATCTTACAATTAGCTTCTAGGTCCAAATCCAACTGGATTACTTTTACCAAGGACTTCTCTAAACAGCTAATACGATTGTACACCTCCTATGCTCAGCTTAAAAATATCGTTATCAAAGCGGCTAACTATTAACAGGTTCTTACTACGATTTTCGATTTAAGTAAGTTCCTAATATTTCGGCACTGATGCAAACGCTGATAGCAATGAAATCTTCGGAGCTGACATAAAAAGCGAGGCAGTTTAAATCTCTAAGCAAATGAATGCTGCTGGTAAGGGCTTAAGTCGTAAATCAGCAACCAAATGCGAGGGCAGCTAACGCATGCCGCCTACGCTTCCTACGACCTAAGCGTCTCAGTTTATTAGTAATTATCCTACATTGCGTGCTAAGCTAAATTTTAGTAATTTAGTAATTTTTTACAAGAGATATTGTTGTGTTATGACTCACCTATTTCTCTATCTTCGCTTAAGGAACCGTTTTCACTTAGTATACTCTGTATTAAAAATAAATAAAAGAAAAAAAATATAGCCGTAAAGTTGACAAGTTAAATACTGATTAGGCGGTTTATAAAATATAAATACAACTGAGTGCTTGCAAAGACTTGCAAATAAATGAAAAAATCTCGTAGCTGTAGCTCGTAGAAGAACATTGATCGGATAATAATAATTTCTTCATCAAACAATCAGTTGATCCCTCAATTCCAACCACAAAATTATTTTCTTGAAAATGACGATGATATTATTTTGAGAGTGGCATTGTGCCCGGAACTCCCTTAAGTATTTTGATGAACCCTCGGCGAAATTGCCTCCGAATCAAGACGAGTGGCTCGTAGCATATTTTAAGGAACCCGTGACGCAATCCGGAATCCCTACTAATGGTTTTCGATATTGCTTATGACATTGATTCAAATTGAATAAGTACAATCTAGAAAGAAATATTTAAAAGATGTACATTATGAACTGACCGTACTGGAAGTGCTAATTCTTTAATAGTGTTTGGCAGGGAACAGAATATTGGCCACATTACAATCATTATCATTATCATTTGTACCGACCAAATTAAACTTGCAGTGGGAAGTCCCCTAAATGAGTGCAGTAGAATGGCCTCGAGCATAACGAGATGGCGGGACATCTCGAGACGCATCAAGTCTCCCCCTTTCAACACTACATGACGATTACGATCACTCTATCAAGAGTGAAACGATTGAGAAGAAGAAGACGAGCATAAAAAAGAATATAATAAGTTATTGTGGACGAAGAATTAAAATGTCATTAAATTTATCAGGGAGAGATGGTGAAACATTGTAAGACGCATCAAATGTGCCCTCCCCGATACTACATAACGAACTCTGTAGACAGTGTCACGATTAAAAAGAAGAAGTTGCGAAAGAAAGGATCTTAAATGTCAAACCTTTTAAAACACGAGCTGGTGTGGTCATCGTGTGCTCGTACGGACAGTTACCACCTGCATATTTCGGCGCCACAAATAATCTTAATTACGTGTTCTTATTCGTATTATTGTATTAGACCTAAGTTGTCGTGGCCTAAAGGATAAGACGCCCGATGAATTCGTATCAAGCGATGTAACTGTACTCGTGTTCGATTCCCGTAGACAGGTAACTTTTTCTAATGAAATACGTCCTTAAAAAATTTTCACTATTGACATCCAAGATGAAGGAACATCGTCTAATGATATTCAAAGTCGCAAAGGCTATAACTTGCGTGATTACTGGTGGTAGGACGTGTTGTGAGTCCGCACGGGTAGGCACCACCATTCTGCCTATTTCTGTCGTGAAGCAGTGATGCGTTTCCGTCTGAAGGTTGGGATGGCTTTTGTACTGTAGAAACTAAGACCTTAGAACTTATGTCTCGAGGTGAGTGGCGGTGTTTATGTTGTTGATGTCTATGGGCTCCAGTAACCACTGAACGCTAGGGGGCTGTGAGCTCTTGCACATATCTAAGCAATAAAAATACTATATAAGCCGTTATTACAATAAGATTTCGTTCTCAAACCACAATGTCGGTGTCCTCACGTTCAGAGACTTCAGTGCCTATGAGCTCCGGAAGACGATAGGCACCACTTCGTCTGCCTATCAAAGCAAGTAAAAAATCTCGAAAGCAATTTAAATAGGTTCGATTTCATTGTAGGGGAAAGGTTTTATATGAATTGACATCTGGATTTGGCTCATCAGAAAGTTTTTATTAAACTCTTTGCAAGTTCGAATTATTACTACATTTTTTGGCCTTTAAATAATTTTAGTTTATTTTAGATTCCGATACGAAAAGTTTGAAATGTTAGAGCCTCTCAAACTGACGGCCAGTTTTGATCAAAACGAGTTTTGCTTAATTATGTGTTATTATCCACCTCTCTGTCTCTCTCTCTCTCTCTCTCTCTCTCTCTCTCTCTCTCTCTCTCTCTCTCTCTCTCTCTCTCTTCATAGATATTTATCCCACATGGTTATCCACCATAACCAAATAAATCATACTTTTCCAATTCTTTCAAAGATATTTGACCAAAAATGATTACGTTGTTCCTGTTAAATTAATAATTATATTATATATAGTTAGTTATGAATATTTTTAATTTTTAACCAAATAGTTTATGACATATCACATATCAGAGACTGGCGAATTTTTTATTATTAAAAAATATATAATATATTTTTCTTCAATAAGACTTACACAAGTATAGACCGAGATCAATCCAAAGAGATTGTTATTGAGCACTTATATGTCTTTTAATCCCTTTTTAACGTAAAAGGCCTTAAAGGATTATTTCGCCTCATACATTAGAGTAATACCAACGAGGCTCGTGTATCCCTGTCTTAACAGGGGCATTATACAGACGATCAATAAACGTGAAGCTTGCGTGAATTAATGAATGACTTATCAAGTAGCGGCCATTGGTTGTCTTAGGAGCCAGCGATATTCGAGTATTCAATGTTTTGGTTATCTTTTTTTTTTATTGCCTTTGTAGGCAGACGGGCATACGGCCCACCTGATGGTGAGTGGTTACCGTCGCCCATGGACTTCAGCAATGCCAGGGGCAGAGCCAAGCCGCTGCCTACCAAACTTTTCGCTGTTCTACGTAATGAAGATTTTTTCGCGTTTCGCAAACAATTATAAAAATAATATGTACGCATATATATGTGGGATCGCGGTGTACAATGACATAAGCGAATTTGTTTAATTTTATTTAGTCAACGGCTCACAAAAATGTACGTCTTTTCTTATTTTATCTTAATCATTCTGTCTCTCAAATATATTAAGTGTATAATCTATGATTCTGTCACTTAAACTTCATGCACCATCTGTCATCTGTCAGGTCGTTGTGGCCAATGGTTACGCCTAATTATTCCCATATATATAAAAGCCATTCTGATTAAATATCCATAAATACAGCATAACCTCGCCTTTTTTATTATCGTTTGAAATTAAGCCGTGAAAACCGAAGAAAATACTAACATTCATATATTTGATTTGAATTTTTTCATCCCAACATTTTCACTATAAATAATAAATACATCGTGGATATACAGCTATACATATCGTGTACATTTGCATGTGTATACTGTATACACATGCAAATGTGTACGTGATTTCTTATTTAATCTCACTGCAGAATTTGACACGTACTCTTTCTTGAGAAACCATCGTCACAGGATCCTTATATAAAATATTTTAGAGAAAATCTTGGTAATGTTTTGTAAGATATTTGTTGTTTGTCGGTCTAAGTATGTAACGGTAGATAAAAGTATTCGAAATATTGCATGATAAGAAATGAAGGAAATCTAATAATACCTATTCTGAGTGTTTCTGGTAGGGAGTGTTGAAAGAGAGGGTTAGCTATGTTGGAGCTCAGTCTTGCCTATATCTGCCGCTTGGCAATCCCAGGTTTCAGTCTGTAGGGTGGGAAAGCTATTATTCCAGTGCAATAACTACGTGAATCATCGTGCGTCACATTAACAACCTGCACGCATTGTCAGCATACTTGTTTTGAATGTGATTTCTTATAAGAGTATTTGAACATGTTACTACTGCTGGGCTACGAGCTTTTGTAATTATTATTTTCTGAGGATACAATTGGCGTTGTGCTCTGCGCGTCTCAGCGGTATACTGAAAGCTTGCCTAATTCGGCGTTTGAAAATCTTTCAAGTTTGATAGAATTTGAAAGGCTAATGTGGTGCTAAGATTCGAACTACACTATTAAGCTAGTAGTAGATATACAGATTTAATCATCACGAAAATAATAAGGAGCAAGGCGTTCAGAATGTATTTTATAGACGTGTTCTCGTATCGAGAAAAAAAAAGTTGAAATCCTCGAGGGACGGTTGTATTATGTGGGAAAAAAAATCTTCCCTTCAAATATTCAAATCTTATTTTTGTAAGCAGATGAAATTGGTAAATATCACGTCCTCGGAAAATTCTCGTTTCCACTTACCTATCTATATCGATGGTAACGCAGAAAAAAAAAACCGATTATTACACCTTGATGGGATATCTTATTTTAATTTGATCCAGTCTTACCTTATTGAGTAACATTTTAGAAAATTATTATAGGTAAGATTAACACCAAAATTATGCTAGAAAAATCGATGTATAAATGTTATAAGTTACAATGTTCTCAGACAACATATCTCGGATTTAACTCATATGTTTCACCTATCGTCATTTATATTAACGTAACTTATTATCACGTTATTTATATTAATTTTATTTAAAGTTTTTAATTCCAACTTGAAGAGCCCTAAATTATCAACGAAACCATTATATTTATCTGATGGAATACAAAAAATTCCATTAGACACGAAACGTTTATTTGCTAACATACCTGTCTGAGTTCTGTAGCGAGATCGATAACAAGTCGATTTTGCTCTTTTTGAAATCCCAAAGCCACTTTCATTTCGTTGAGACCTGAAATAATTTTGTATTGTAACACGAATAAGATATTTTTCTTTCATCACAACAATTGCTACGAAATCGATTGGCTTGTTTGGAGTTAATTTACTAGTTCTATTGAAATAACTCATTTCTGTACTTGTTCATTTCAGGTTTTACAAATTGTTACCTTCATAATATTGTATTACGAAAATCCAAAGAGTAGTCCAGAGCACCAGAAAAGAACACAGCCCGAGCTGGGATATCAAGTATCTCACTAATACCGAAGACATACTCTCGCCTGGTCGCTTTGATATGGGAAATAATCTTAACCACATTCTTGGTATCTACAAATGAAATCTATTAAACATATAATTGATATTTACACATACGCGAATACTTATTTACGGAGGAAATAGCGTATAAAAGTTTCCTCCTCCTCGAGTCGTGTTCCTCATGTCTGAGGGTCGTGACCACCATCACCCATGAGCTTCAATCTTAGGATCTTTTTCCACTTTCCCCAAAGTTTAATGAAACGCTTATTTCCATTTACAGTATTAGCTAAGAATAAATTAAATAATGAACTTTAAGTTTACTAGCACTAAATAATTTTTTAGTATAAATAATATTTAACACTAACTTACCTTCGCTGTCACTAACCGGTCTATCTCTTCAACATTTTTTTTGTAAGCAACTTTTTTTGCAATTTCTACAAAATCCTCACAATCATTATAGTTTTGAACTTTAATATAAAATTTGCACTCTCTGTTTTTATCATGCGTGTTTTCTTCACAAGCATTAGGCAGTGTTTCTTTTTGTTTATTTATATTGATTTTATGTTTTTTATCATTAGTTTTTTCTATTATTTTCGCTTCAAGGTTATCTGGTAGTGTATTTTTAACAATATTGTCTTCAGTGTCGACTAGAACAGTAACGTTTTTAGATTTAATGCGCGTTTTCATTTTCCCATACAATGGTTTAACACAATTGAAATGTTTGAATTTATTCTTTGATTCTCTCATTCTGATTCCGTTAGCAGTTCGTTAAATACTGCAGCAGGGGTCTAAGCTATTTGATATCGGAGTTGGACTGTTGAAAGCGATGGTATGGCGTGTTGGAAAACTTGAAAATTGTTGAGTTCCGGAATGTTGAAGACTTCAAAGTTTTATTAGTTTGAAATTCGATTGCAGCTAACGGACTTTCACGAAATTATACCAATTATCCTCAATCTCATGAAGTGAAGATTTGCAGCGAAATTGTTTGAAGTCATGACCGAAATAATGTCGATTTCTTTGCTACTGTGAAAAGACTTTTTTTTTGCTGATAGATTTATATTAGTTTCAGTTTATTGTATTACACAATGTTAGCGAATATAAAATGATATGAAATGTTTAAAATGGCAATTGATTTTTATTTATGTATCTAGTATGAATAGTTCCATACAGATTATCTTCGTCTTTTTAAATGTTAACATTAAGAATATGGAGTTCTTCATACTTTAGACAATTTACTCTACTTAAATTTAAGTGAATTTAGTAATACTATTATTATTATTAATTGTGTAGGTAACATGTTCAAAAACATACAAAATCATTTAGATACTTTCAAATTGCCTTATTCTTTGTCAATTGAAAAATGTTTTTTTTTTCAGTATACAATGAAGTACATGTAAAAATAAAAATATTCGCATTTTAATTCTAGAATGTGAAATTGTTTTAAATACCTATTATGCACTATAATACGAAACAATTATTTGGTGTTTGGTTCAAAGTACAGAACCGGATCGAATTATACACACGAAGGTAACTTGGTTAGGCTGTCGAGAGCAAGTCAAATTCGTTATTACGGCGTTCGGTAACTTTTCTACCCACGCGACGTAAGGGTTAATAGAGACATATCGAATTTAAAAGTTTAGTTTATATTTTTCGAACTAATATATGCTACTAATGTTTTGCGTTTTAGTTATCCAATATTTAACAATTACAGCGTCAGTTTAAGCTGATTGTTGTATCCATATACTTACAACTGAGACGACGGAGTAACGCCTGAGACACGAGTTGTCGGTGCTTTTAAGCCCTTCAAGCACCGGTCTCTGTTCTCGTCGTCGATATTAAATGGTAGGCAGCGGCTTGGCTCTGCCCCTGGCATTGCTGAAGTCCATGGGCGACGGTAACCACTCACCATCAGGGAGGCCGTATGCTCGTCTGCCTACAAGGGCAATAAAAAAAAAAACTCGTCGACGAAGAGTCCGACGAGCTAATCTATAGACACAACCCAATGAATTTTTCGCCGGATCTTCTCAGTGGGTTGGTACATTCTGCGAAGCACTGCTCTTGTTAAGGTTAGTGTTAGCAAATTCTCTCAGGTTGAACCCGTGGGTCACCAAGAAGTCTTAGCTCCTTAGGCTACCAGAAAAAAGTCGGATCCTTGTAATTTTATAGAAATTTGGAAAAATATTGATTAATCTTTACTTTTTGGCAATGGTATGTAAATTTGATTTAAGAATAAACCTGATGCTTAATGAGTTTTTTATCGTAGAGTTCGTAAATATTAGTTTAGGGCGGGCTGTTCGCTGTGTTGTCATAACTCTACAAAGTTTTCGCAGTTCTTCCTAATTCGAACCGGTACGCAGTTAATGCGTATTGGAGATTTCGAACTTATTATTAATATTATTTTTACTAAGCTATATGGCCGTATTCATTGTGATATTTATGGGCTTTGGTAGTTACTTTACGGCAAGTGCGCCATATGCACGATCAACGAAATCAAACTAAAGAATGATTGATGTACATTACCGGGTATATCCACATTAATGCATACAAGACATACGGAAAGAAACAAACTTTAAATTGAGTTCGCCTCGTGCGGTCTGTCACTCAGCCGTGAACGATGCGAGGCTCAATTACAATTTTCCATGTTGCTGACACTGAATATGTTATAAGTTTTCCATTGCTACCGAACCCTATGCCTACTATGAGGTCTCTATTTCAACTAAGTCGCTTCGATAAAATATTTGAAAAGTAAAATTAAATGTTCTATGGTTTCTAAAATGCAAAATCTGAGATAGATCAATCGAAAATTATTCACGTAATTTATGTATTAAAATCCAATATCTTACGTTTTTAACAAGTTTTCATTGCAGTGGCATATGAGTACCGCGTAGTTAGAAAGCAGAGCCTGAGTGTATGCGAATAATACATTTTTATTTACCCTGAAAGAGATATGTGGCAATCACCGTTGCTGACGCCTGGTACGTTGTTTGAGCGCGTATTGCCTGAAATATTTACATTTCTTGCTTAGACGGCTAAATAAGTTTATAAGTTACCTGGTGTTATGTGGTTACCGGAGCTTGTAGACATGGCATAATTACGCAAATTATAGTTATTACCAGTTTTCTAGAGTTAGTGTTTTAATAATATATGCTGCTCTTCCTTCATCGTCGAAGTCATTCGTGAACATGAGCTAGGTACGTATTTCATTAGGTTTGAAAATGAATGCGGTATTTGAACACCGGGATAGTCACATTTCTCTATAACATTGCACCGGGAGTGTTATCCCTTAGCCCACGACGACCTCAAGTTTGTATTTATATACCGGTCTTAAACCCTGTAAGCCGGAACACATGATTGTTTTGTGGAAGTAATGAGAAGTGGTACCTAACCTTGCTTGATTACAAAATGCTCGACTGGAAATGATAAGTAGTTTTTTTAATTGCAGTTTTATGAACGATGGATAACAAGTATGTCTCTTTAGCAGAAATAATATTTTTTGTTTTCGTTGTAATTCTTCTTTGTCGTTTCCTCAGTAATGAGGATCGTGACCGTATATGATTCGTGTCCATTCTCGCGCAAGTTCAATATATCGGTTATAGTTTGGGTTTGTCCCGTTCTTTCGTTGGAATACTAGTTAATATTGCAGTTTTGGATCTGAAAATTGTCTCTTTAGATTACCCTACATTCGTTGTTGTGTTTGAATTCTTTAATCTGTATAAGTATATATAAAAATGAATTGCTGTTCGTTAGTATCGCTACAACTCGGGAACGGCTGGACCGATTTGGCTAATTTTGGTCTTATTTTTTTGGAATTATTTGTGGAAGTCCAGAGAAGGCTTAAAAGGTAGAATATGAAATTGCTCGGAATTAAATAAAAATAACAATTTTGTTTTTCCTCTGATGTGTCCCCGTCGACCGGATTCCTTTTGTTTGTTTTAAGTTTATTTTATACAAACGTTTGGGTCTTTTATTTATCGATTGAGGCACTACGAAGTCTGCCAGATCAGCTAGTGGCAAATAAAAACATATTTGTGGTTCGGATAGTTGAGAACATACTGGATATCGCAGAATTATTGATTTTCTAAACGTCCTGCGCGAGTGTCGATTTTCGCGGCGCGCGCAACATCTGTCAAAATGGAATATTTTGAACGAAAATAAATAATTTACAAGACAACATTTTCAATTTACGAATTTTTAGAATTATGCGTTGGTGAAGTACGAGAATATAAAAAAAAATTAACAGTGTCTGTGGCTTGTGGTTCATTTTGTATTTGGCAGTAGAAAATTCAGCACCCGGTTCTTTAGGATTCTATGTTTAGGTTACGGCCACGAATGTGTTTGAAACGTGATGTTCTAAGTGAAGTTATTATTAAAAAATGAATTAACGCAATACAATAAACCGATATTCACCACATACGAAAGTTATAAACTGTGAAATTAACCTATAACTGATTCCATCGAAATTTGGTAACCTGTTGGATTTTTTTCATAAGAAACACACAAAATGCTGATACCGAGTTAGGAGGAATGAAAATGTGCGTGAAAAATGACGAGATGCCTACGGATATTCGGTGCTTATTCATACAGATTGAGCCNGCAATACAATAAACCGATATTCACCACATACGAAAGTTATAAACTGTGAAATTAACCTATAACTGATTCCATCGAAATTTGGTAACCTGTTGGATTTTTTTCATAAGAAACACACAAAATGCTGATACCGAGTTAGGAGGAATGAAAATGTGCGTGAAAAATGACGAGATGCCTACGGATATTCGGTGCTTATTCATACAGATTGAGCCGAAGACATTCGACGATACTTTTGCTTGCGTTTCTGATAGCAACCGTAACGCTTATACTGCATCTCTACGCCTACAGGCATCAAGAACCCGAACAGCTGCAGACGTCAATCGGTGATTTTGACTATAAGCCAGCTTCATTCTTGATTGGGATGCAGCCAAACGAAAGCATCAATTACTGCGATTTTAATTACGGCCTCCCGCACACGCTCGAATGGGATAACCTCCAAACTTATCCGTCCCCGGAGACTGGAAATAAAAGTCCTTATAGAGTCATATATGATGCTATCAAAAGTAGGGCTTATAGTAATTGCGGTGTGTATAATGCAGTAACTTATGCCACACAAGCAACTCCTGAATTCATTTACCATATCGTTGAGATTGCTCGCTACTGGGATGGACCCATCAGTCTCAGTGTATTTGTACCTGATTACGATTTGGATATAACGATGCAGATAATGAACCAGCTCTGCCATTGCTACCCTGGTATGTCCAAAGTTTCATTACATCTCTTTTATCCAAAGAAACTCACACCAAAACTTAGAACCAGGAGGCTGTTTTTACCTGTTACTACGGAACCGTCAACGACACCATCGAACATCAGCTTAGAAGAGATGTTCAGGAAGAAATTGGAAAATTACAGGAATTTGAACAACAAAACTAGAGCTGAGTACATACAAGGAGCAAGGAAAAGAAAAATTGAAAAGATGATGATCGGCATGATCAAAGGAAAACCGGTTATACCGAAGTTAACATTCAAAGATTGTTCGGGTCCAGATTCGTTCGATATAAAAACATTTAGAAAGGAAAACAACATGCTATATCCGATTAATGTCGGCAGGAACGTTGCTAGAAATGCATCGAAGACGAACTATTTCATAGTTTCCGATATAGAAATGGTGCCGAGTGACGGGTTAGCGACTAAATTTCTCGTGATGCTGAGGAAACTTATGGGAAATAAGAAACGTGACGAGGGCTGTGTGTTCACTAAGACGATCTTTGTGGTGCCATTGTTTGAAGTGGAGAGAGGCGAGGAAATACCGCGGAACAAAGACACGTAAGTGCTTGGGGACAGTAAAGAATTCGTCATTCGGTACGATTAATTTTGAATAGTTTTTTGTTTAGACGAGAGATTCTTAAACATTTTTCATTCCNCAGTAACTTATGCCACACAAGCAACTCCTGAATTCATTTACCATATCGTTGAGATTGCTCGCTACTGGGATGGACCCATCAGTCTCAGTGTATTTGTACCTGATTACGATTTGGATATAACGATGCAGATAATGAACCAGCTCTGCCATTGCTACCCTGGTATGTCCAAAGTTTCATTACATCTCTTTTATCCAAAGAAACTCACACCAAAACTTAGAACCAGGAGGCTGTTTTTACCTGTTACTACGGAACCGTCAACGACACCATCGAACATCAGCTTAGAAGAGATGTTCAGGAAGAAATTGGAAAATTACAGGAATTTGAACAACAAAACTAGAGCTGAGTACATACAAGGAGCAAGGAAAAGAAAAATTGAAAAGATGATGATCGGCATGATCAAAGGAAAACCGGTTATACCGAAGTTAACATTCAAAGATTGTTCGGGTCCAGATTCGTTCGATATAAAAACATTTAGAAAGGAAAACAACATGCTATATCCGATTAATGTCGGCAGGAACGTTGCTAGAAATGCATCGAAGACGAACTATTTCATAGTTTCCGATATAGAAATGGTGCCGAGTGACGGGTTAGCGACTAAATTTCTCGTGATGCTGAGGAAACTTATGGGAAATAAGAAACGTGACGAGGGCTGCGTGTTCACTAAGACGATCTTTGTGGTGCCATTGTTTGAAGTGGAGAGAGGCGAGGAAATACCGCGGAACAAAGACACGTAAGTGCTTGGGGACAGTAAAGAATTCGTCATTCGGTACGATTAATTTTGAATAGTTTTTTGTTTAGACGAGAGATTCTTAAACATTTTTCATTCCTAAAACCAACCTTCCTCATGCTATTTAGTATAAATTGAGAGATTGCAAAGCACCACGAACAATTTCTCATATTTTTTATAACAAGTAATTAGTTATTAAAGTACTATTCGCGATCGTAATTCGCATTTCCATTCTATCTTTTCAAAGATACCCACTTTTTTATATCTATAAAGGAAACTTATCGTTCTTCTAGGTTTTTAATGTAGATTAAGGTCGATACTAATTCTCAATTGATAATTATTAGAAGTTATTAGTTATAGAATTATTATTGGTAATTATTATAGACAATGTACTTTATCTTCGAATAATGGCTATCTCACCTTTCAAATTAGAACACACGACCAAATGGGTATTTGGTAGGTAACCCATCCGCGTGCTCTCACAATGTTTTAATATTATTACTTATTATTATTATAAACAGTAATTACGTAAATTTATGATGTGTGGTGTTGTAATTTTTATTACACGGTGTTGTTTTTTCATCGTAGAAGATTATTATTAATCACGCATAGGCTGCTCATATATTTATTTAAAAAAAAAACCATTTAGGCATAGTAGCGTTAAATGAGGCCAGTACTCTCATACTTTGAGATAAGTATATTACTACCAATTTAAAAAAAAGTTGTTTCCTGTCTAGGTTATATTCGAATTTTGCATTATACTTGGACCACGATATTTTTTTTTGTTTATTCTTATAAATAGGAAAACAAAACTAAATTTAAGAAACAAAACATTCTATAAAAACAATATAATTTTCTATTTTTAATTTTAAAATAGAAAATAAATTTAGACTAATGTCCAATACGTAATGTCCAATGTTACTCAACATATGCAAAACATTGGACTTATTTACTTGTTTATTATATTTATGAATAGTTATTCTAGAATTATCCGTTTATTGTTTAATTAAGTATAAATATTTAAACTGTATCGATTTCTCGGATAACTGAATACTGTGTCCACGTTATTATGGTTAACTAATGGTCCCCCAGTAGTCGATATTCAACTATAATTCATTGAAATTAAAGTTTGACCATTATTATGGGTTTTTTTTTCAAAGACTATTACTACTATATATTATTACTATATACTTATATAATCACAGATTTCGCCAAGACCAAACTTTAGATAATTATTAATAAAGACAAACAATATTTAATCTATTCTCAATTTCTCCACAGACTATAAGTAATAAGAAAAGTTAGATAATACACAAATAGTATGCATGCATGTGTGTGTCAAATATATGGTAGTGTGTGTAATGTTTTTTTTATTGAATTAATGTACGAGTATTTTTATGCATAACAAGCTGACCCGGCAGACTTCGTAGTGCCTCAATCGATAAATAAAAGACCTAAACTTTTGTATAAAATAAACAAATTGTTATTTTTATTTAATTCCGAGCATTTTCATATTTATCTACCTTTTAAACCTTCTCTGGACTTCCATAAATAATTCAAGACCAAAATTAGCCAAATCGGTCCAGCCGTTCTCGAGTTTTAGCGAGACTAACGAACAGCAATTCATTTATATATATATATATAGATTAGTATAGATTGTAAGCGGCTGTGTAATCAATTATTTTCCAACAGGTTAGTTCGCATGGTAGCGGCGAACCGAGCAATGTATTTCCATCAGAAGGTTTGCTCTCATTGTCAAAGGTTTCCCGGACTGCAGTCGTGGCTTCTGCGAACCCCGCCGGACGTTCTGGAAGTAAGCGCAAAGCCATTAGTAAATAAATAAATCTATCTTCCACTTAAATATATATGTCGATGCATTTTTGGGTAGATGTTTTCTATGACTTAGAAATTTGTTGAAACTTTCAGGTAAATTTCAGATTGACTTAGCTGGTGATTCTGTAATTTATAATAAGTAACTTATATAATAAAAAATTATCGAATAGCATCAGTTGTTCGCAGTAGAGTTTAGAATCGATGGTTCTGCCTGGTGGCTCATAATTAATAATGCTCTTCCAATCCCACCACACACACACAGCATCACCTTGTTGCGAGTTAACTCGGGTTTCGCCACAGTCTGTGAAGCCTGACCGGCCTTTGACCACGACCTTTTTCGCACGTTCTTGTCGTACGTGATCCACTTTTCATCACCAGTTATCAGCTTCTTCAAAAATGGTTCGGTTTCATTACGTCGTAATAAAGAATCACAAATGAGTACACGGTTCATTAGGTTTCTTTCAGTGAGCTCGTGAGGTACCCAAATATCGAGCTTTTTTGTGTACCCAGTTTTTTTCAAATGCACCAAAACTGTTTTATGGTCAATTCCCAGTTCTTCAGCTACGTCGTAACCACTGATGTGCCGATCTTGCTCCACTTGTTCAAAAATGGCATCCATTTTATCTGTAATAATTTATCTGAAAACGTATTCATAAATCGTTCACCGCCTGTTTCATATGTAACGTGTTCAGTAAAATAAAATTGACAAGTTTCCAATCGTCGTTTAGTCATTCTGCGGCGGAAATGAACATCGTTCGAACGTCCAGCGGACTGCTGTTTTGTTAGGTTACATTGGAAATGGTTTGTGTTTTTGTAGTTTTACTGGTATTGCAATTTGTGGTTTTGTTTCCAGAGTTTTCCTTGAGGATCGGTGGTTTTCTTTTGAATAACTTTTATAATATTTATAATAATAATAATAATAATAATAATAATAACACTTTATTTAACACCATATGTACAAAGTGAGCAAATAAAACAAATAATAGTCGGTGACATAAATTGGCGGCCTTATCTCTGAAAGCGATCTCGTCCAGGCCACCTTGCAGGGAGAGGAATAAGAGAACTGGACGGTGCTTTATCATAATAAAAATTTGTCTGTGAATAATAATAATAATAATAACTGGGAACAAATCACACACGGTAATCCGGCCACAATATCGGATTCCATAAATATTATGGGTACCAGAGACTGACATATATGACATACATACGTGGATATATACATATATAGATAATAAACACCCCGACAAAGAGCAAACATACCTGTTCATCACACGAATGTTTGTTCGATGTAGGAATCGAACACGCGACCCTCGTCGCAACAATCAGAGGCGCTAACTATTGCACCACCGAGTCTGACAAAATGAATACGACTATTAATCCGTGTTTACGATTTTATTAACGCATTTTTGCTCAACTAGTTCCTTGGAAAATCATTTGGTAATTGATTTGACCAGTGAGTTTTATCTTTTCTTTTTTCCTACCTCTGTTGATAGTCTTGAGATGCTATTTCAGCTTCACCCTAACATGTAGGTGAGCTCACGGGGCTCAAACCGGAGTGTTGCTAGCACTGGCCCTAGCAAGAGCAGTGCTTCGCAGAATTTAATACCGAATCGGAAACGCGACCCACTGAGAAGATCCGGCAAGAAACTCAGTGGGCTGTGTCTGTGGGTTAATTCGCTCTACGTCGCAAGAGACGGGTTCGATGAGGACGGTGACCGGTGCTTGTGGTACCTAAAAGCACCGTTAATGGATCGGGAGTTTTATCAAAAAGTACAGAACTATCGACATCTGCATGCTTAGTGCGAGCTTTTTAACGTTTTCGATAGCGTAAACGTTAACTAAAATTTGTATGCAGTTGGAACAGCGCCCCTAATGGTAAACGTAGGCTAACTCCATACGAATTTGAGTTAACTTTTACGCTATCGAGAACGTTAAAAAACTATAGCAAGCAAGCAAGCTTTTAACATGAAGTTTTTAGATTTTAAGGTTAGGATAGTTATTAGAACATAATTGGGTGCTTGATATAGTGTTTTAAAACGTAGGAGGATAGTGGTATTTTGATTATTTTGTATATCATAAAAACACATAGCATAGATTGTGGCTGCGTTCAATTATAGTCAGTTTCAAGGGTTTATTTCTTGGACCGTCCAGAATGTTCAGAATGTTCTCAAGAATCCATAATGTCTTCAATATTTCCCGAGGGATCTAGCATTTACAAACTAATCTTGAAAAGAGTCGTTAGCGTTTGGCTGTACCCGTGGTTTTGCGATTTTCATTAATGATAGGTCTTAATAAACTGTATTTTGCTGCAACCAATCGGTTACTGCGGAAATCTTGGACATACCTAGTCAGTTAAATAGCGAACTGTGTCTATTATAAAAGTATGTAAAGAAAATTCGTAACACCACTTTCAGAAGATTTGCAAAATTATTTAATTTAAAGTCGAAACTAAATTTCGCATAGGTACTATCGTTTAAGGAGTTCTCACCACATTTTTGATATATGAGCTTACAAAAACATCATAAATAAGAGTGCTTAATGTATTTAAGTAGACACAAAAGTTTAATACACTTCGGAAATACGTATTAGGTATTCTATTAGTAGTGTAACTCCGCCTCCAACAGTCAGGAAATAGCACACAGATTGCAGTACTTCCCTTAATTCTGTATTGCTTTATTTGTAACTCCACTTGTACAATCTTTATTTTTTTAAGTGATTTTATGACCTGGTAACTAAGACCTTCAAATCATGTCTTTTAATTTATATTCTTATTTTTATGAAAAATTATAATATAGAGGGAAATGAAATGAAAATGATTAATTTGAGACATTAATCAACTGGGATGAAATTAAATGAAATGAGATGATATGGGATGAAATATAATCAAAGTAAAATGGTGGTCATTTACTAAGATTTTTTCAGTGGACTTTTTGCAGGATCCCGAGAAGTTGTGTCCAGCAGCTTTGTTTCATTTTCCCACATTTGTGCACTTTCACAGATATTAAACAGTTAATAAACCACCGTTATTACACATTTAAACTTGAAGAAACACTAAATAGACAAAATAAAACAAATCACACAACTTCACTCCTCGCGTTCCCGCCAAAAAGTCGTATAACCTTTAGCTATGTGCTCACTACAGAATATACCACTTTTTCTGCGGTTTTTTCAGACTACCGCCTTTTTTTATTATGTCACGTCCCCAATACTGCCTTTACTCCCACCAACAGTGTTGCTATTTGGCAATCCGAAAATTGTCTTCATTTTAACATGATACATTTTATTTTAATTATTTTACAACAAACCTTACAGTAGTTAATCTAAGGTGATAATAGAGTATCACCGTTTTAATTAGTGAAGTGTTCGCGCTAGTAAGAGCAGGCCGCTTTAATTAGTTAGCAATTAGTGCGGTCGCCAACAGCCTCGGTCGGATAGATCGGATATTAGGTACGGAATACTCTAGTAGAACCGTCTACAGGGCAAGTATTTAGCGATTGAATTTAAAAAGATTATTGTGAGGAGGATTTTAAATACGATTAGATATACATACGTATTTCTCCACTTTCTTATGAATTAGGTCATGGTCTCTGTCATCTATGCTAATATATAAATCTACAGTGGTTTTTACGGATGTTCCGTTATAACGATTGAATCACATTCGCTTGACTTGAAACTTGGTACCCATGTACAAAATACATGTACTCAATGGATAGGCTAATATTTATATGAATGTTTGACTCCCTACACCAGTTGCGGGAGCGTTAATGATAAGAATCTTTGTAGGGGTGAGAAATAATAATGCTAATTTTAAATATCCAGCGAAGCGGACGCGTACAGCTAATACATATATATAAGGTCTATTAGCAAATTGACACATTCGCTAACTTATTTTCTAGCATTAGTTCCAAGCTTTTCTAGATTTCGGGTGATATTTTATGTCGTGAAATTTATGATTGTTCTAATTGCTATAGCATGTTTGGAGAAAAACCTGCCATGTATTTTTCCAATTAAAATTTAACCAAATATTTTTTTTTTATAATTATGCTGTAGGCCTTACAACTTTGTTTATTTTTTTTTTTTTTTTTTTTTTTTTTTTTTCCCTTTTAGGCAGNATAATCAATCATATTAAATCGATATCAAAGTCAATAAATAATGTACAACCCAAAACAGACGGCCGAACTGACGTGACAATGACATTTGGCGCGCTAAACATGGCGGATTTTCGGCCTCATTAGACGGAGACGGAGATATTTACGTATATTCATGTTCCATTTTATGTACGCACTGAAATACTGTTATATTGTTTTCCTGCGAGTTAAACTGCTGAGTAAGAACGAGATAGATATATGTTTATGTATGTGCCTTCAAAATGGGTGCTATTTATATAAGCAATTGTACGTATAGAATAATATGTCGTGTCCCTACTATATAGGTCTATGAGACAAACACGTTCTCCCGTAATCCGACTTTCGTTTCGTTGCATTCATTATGGAACCCTAGAGTTAAGGTTATTGTAGTCTCGTGCTATGAACAATTTGCATTGTTGGGTGGATTAAACTATTACTTTTTTCGTTTTGTCCTCACACCAGGTGTTTCTGTTACATAATGCTTTTAAAGAGCATATACTATGAGTATTGCACTTAATAATTTTTAAGTATTCACGAATAGAGTTTTTCAACAATAATTTAATTTTAAATTTTCTTGCAATATTACAGAGACCTAAGTCTCTTGTTGTCTCGAGCAGTTGGCGTCATATTGTTTGCGGTAATCAACAAACATCAGCTACACTGTGAAACTCCTGCCAAAAATACAGTTATAAAAATCGATATTGGAATTGAATTATTTAGTACCTTTTTTTTCGATAACATTCTCCATGTATGTACGACAGAGTCATCGGCAGATTTGCTTTAATTTAATTATTTAAATAAAATACGCAATTAAATATTATATTAGTCGCAAAATCATGCGTTTTTAAGT